GTCATTAAAGTGTGGGGGCTCCTCTAGATTCAGACCATCTGGGTTCAAACCCAGCCAACCACTATAGCAAAAGGTAGATGCCCACCCATATATCCATTCTTCTGTTTCTTCTTGTATAGAACACCACAGATTTTTTTCTGGACATACTGCCATCCAGAATAAAAGACTATTTCCTAGAGTTACCCTGGCAGCTAGGTGAGGCCATGGGAGCTGGCTGTGGCCTGGGACTAAATTTTAGCTAAGATATAAGTAGGGAAGATAGCTTATTTTTTGCCCTTCTGCCTTTTTGTCTTGCTTCTAGATTGCAATGTGTGTGTGCAATGGCTGGAGCTTCAACAGCCTCTTTAGACCCTGCAGTGACCACGAGGATAGAAGTGGTATTCTCAGGTGGCGTGCAGAAATTTAGAACTGGAGTCCCTGAAATCAGTGAGGAGCTGCCGTATCAGCTCTGAACTGCCTCCTGCTAGACTTTCTATGTGACAAAGAAATAAGGAGCTATACTATTTAACATACTGGCCGTGGACTTTTGGTGAATTACTTAACTTCTCGACACCTTAGTTTCTACACCTATAAAATGAGGATAATAATAGCACCGAACTCCTGGGGTTGTCATGGGTGTTAAATGAGATGACGCATGCAAAGTTCTTAGACTAGGAGCCTGTATATGGTGAGCACTCCACAAACACAAACATTGCTCTTATTAAGGATGCCTGACATTTGAATATCTAACAGTCAGTTTCAACAATTGAAAAGTGACCGGGGAAGTTCCTCAGCATGTTATTATTTTGAAATGTTCTGAAGCGTGAATTTGAACCATGCCCTCTGAGAAGAATGAGTCATTTAGCTAGTCGGGGCTCAGGCATCGGCCCCCCAGTGCTGCTCTGTTGTCCTCTGCCCAAGCGGGACCTCACTCATGTTATGACTAAAGCATTGTTTCCTTATGAAAACAACTCTGAAAAACAAAGCCAAATTCCAGCGCTAGCAATAAAAAAAATATTAAGAAAGCCTAATGAAGGAATAAAACGAAGTTTCCTACTTATAAAATTAACACTTTGGCAATGCTTCTGAACCGTGACGTGACTAGACCCACCATGTGCTCCATGCAGAGCAAGCTACAGATGATAGAGGGCATTTCAAAAATGAGCATTTTCAAATGTCTCTCAAAGTGTCAGTTACAAATATAAGGACCTGCTATTATGGGTGATCCACAAATGAAATCCACAGGTAATAAAAGGACTAAAGTTAAAGAACTGCAGGGGAATAGAACATACAGAATTACGACACTGGGCAGACTCTTTGCTTCAGAATTGCTCCAAGAGCAAAGAAATTATTTTTATTTTATTCATACCTATGTACTCGCCCAAAAGACTTAAGACTTCTTATAATAAAAGGCACAGAATTAACAAAGTCATAGAACCGTTGAGACAAGGGGAGAAGAAAAAGGAAAGGGAGTGGGTGAGAGGGAGGAATGGTTACAGCCAGACAAGACAGCCTGGCTCTGGTCCAGGCTGCCACTTTCTGGGATTTCACTGGGCTAGAGGTGATGCTTCGAGACATCCACTTCTAGCAGAAAGAGGAATGGCCATGTGCCGGATGGCTCCCGCTGGCCCCTCCAGAAGCTCCCACTGCCTTCTGCACCCTGCCCTGGTGGACCCGATGGTCTGTGTCCACAGGCTCCCCTGTCCTCTCGTTTCTGGTTGGGTCTAGCCAGTGGTGAGCCCTGGCAGACAATGAGAGGAAGAAGAGAGATTGAGATCACAGCATTTATTCTCAGTTCCCTCCCTGCAAGGCTGCTTGAAGAGCCTGCATCTCTCAACGGAAGCTCACTCCTCCTCCTTGAACAGCTGTTCTACTTGACTTCTCCCCCCAGGTTCTCCGATCTTCTCTCTTCCCTTTGAGTCCAAGAAGGATGCCACATTTAGCAAAGACAAATATAGGATGGTCAGTTAAATCCGAATTTCAGATGGACAATGAACTTTTAAATACAAATATGTCCCATGCAATATTTGGGATCATACTTAGACTAAGAGATTACTCATTGTTTATCTGAAATCCTGTATTTTATCTGCCAACCCTACCGTAAGGATACAATCAGCTGTAACCCGGCTCCTACTGGTTTCCCTCCATCCTACCCATGCCTTTGGATGAGTCCCTTTGTCTATGAGCCATCCTTGAGTTATCCTGATGTGAGCGTGCCATCTGTTCTCCCTCAGGATCCTGATACAGTCATCATCTCCCTTGGTTTCTCCCTGTCAAGGTTATTTCCTCTCAACTATGTCTCACTCGCTACTTCTTTTAGAAGATTTCCACACGGGTTCTATGGCAGACAACCCACTGAGACTGAAAGGAGGCCCTTTTCTCCAGAGACCAGATGACACAGAGGTGGCAATGCTGACTTCTTAGTATGAGACTTAAAGAGCCCGATTTAGATCCTTGTATTAATGTAGCTTGGCTTGGCTTTCCCTGACAGCAGAGTCAGAGACAAAGGCTGGCCTGCAGGTAGTTTATTTCTAAATGTGACCTCAAGAAGCAGGAGTGCAGGGCAGAGAAGGGAGACAGCGAGGGAAGGAAAGCGCATGTCAGGAAGTGCTGTTGAATTGACTATAGGCAATTGGTGTTTGATGCCCCCGAGACCTTCTGAAGGCCTTCATGAATGCGACTCAGATCGTCTATTCAGGGCTCAAAGTGGAAGTATTTATCAATGGCCCCTGTCTGCCAGTGGGCAAAAGTGGCCCTAGGCATGCCCTGCATTTTCAGTTAAAGGTACAGGAGTGCAGAGTCAGTTCCTGTAATTTCCGTGCTGCAACATCAGAGAGGCCTCAAGGCAAAAACAGGAAGTACTTGGCACAGGCCTGAAGGGCAGTGTTGTCCAGTGCTGTCCAGTTGCAACTCCCTGTAGATGGTCAAAGCTTCTGGTTAGAGCCAAGAGGATTTTGAAGGGGTGACCAAGATGTCTCTCATGCCCAGTGGAAGGCCAGTCTACTTCTGCATGGAGATAAGCTACAAGTTTACCCAGAGAGGCACCAAGACATTAATGAAGACACTCAGACGCTAATGCTTTGAGCAGAGACGAGATCTCTGGAGGAGTTGCCACAGTTGGCGGCAAGTGGAAGTCAGACTCTCTCAAGCACAGAATCTGCTTGATGGAGCTTAATTAGTTGAGAAGAACCAACTCGAATTCCTCCTGGAGACCACTACGTGTCTATTGTGAATAGTTACGACAGGCTGTGCCTGGGGTCACCCATGCAAAGTCTCCAAGTCGACACAGATGGGAAACTCCTGGCTTCTCCAGCACAGCACAACAAGAACTTCAAGACCCAGAATCTCTATTAGTCCTGAGCAGCAGAATTATTGCTTCATATGATGACTCAAGTGGTTTCTAGGTGGAAACGTGGCAGAGTCCATGCTTCTCTGCCCTTGCGGGCATCTCACTCCACCCATACAACTAAGACCACCAACCTCAGGTATGTTTCCATGAGAAACAAGGATGGAATGGAGAATCATAGCCAATCACCTCTATCTTTTCCTTGTTTGGGTAAGAATACTTGTGAAAAAGAATCCTTGAACTCAACTTAAGCCATCAGTCTTGCTCATCCTTGAGCCCAAATCACACCCCATGTTCTGTCTAATGGAAAGGCACAGCTCTAAATAGGTAGGCAGAAGATTCGATGGTTAGATACGGGAACAATTAGAGAGCATTAGCAGGTAATATAATTTACCCATAAATCACAATAACGCACGGGCCTGTCTAGTGGCTTGCAGTGGGGAACCAAGTTCTGGTCTGATTCGCTTTCTAGCTTGGGATTGAAGGAGTGATGGCAGATAATCCTCATTTCCTAGTTTAGGATGTAACCATTCTCCATATAGTGAGCCAGAACTGGCCTTCTAATCATACACCGTGTAGGCTGTGGGTTAGTTCAGATTGTGATCCTGTGTATAACTCAACTTTTTTCTTTGTGGCAAGTAAAGAAACCTGAGCATTATTTTCGGTATTTTTCTCCACCATGTGAAATGTGCTAGTGTGAGATACAGCCACAATAATGTAAAGCTGCTCTTCTGCTCCTGGTAGTTCAGCATTTCAAACTTCATTCTTACCTAGAAACGAAAAAGTCCCTGAAAAATGATTAAAATTAACCCTTTAAGTAAAAAAGAGGGCAGTATGGAGAACTGGGGCTTAAAAATATAAAATAATGGTTCTTCTCTACTTCTTTCCACATTCTTCCAGCATTCAGAGAAGTTGGAAAATGTGTTAGCCATCAACCCCCATGACCTCAAAGATTTGGAAAACATTACATCCCTTCTGTATCTTACATCTCGCTCCAGAGCTTATGAGATTTTGACCTATTGATGGGATCGTGCTCCAACCACACACACCAGGAGAGTTTTACTTCAACCACTGTAGTTAAATGACAAGTCTACAATGATTAAGACTGCACTTAGTCTGCAGAAAATTTCAATTTGATCTCACCTTTCCTTTTCACCAACGTGTTAGCGATAGACGGCTCCTGCAAAAACTGGTCTGAGGGCTGAATACATCTTTGGGGGCGACTGGGAGTTTGTATTATTTCAAGGCATCCCATACATCATACTTCCTCCAAAAGCTCTCAGGTCATACACGCCTTGCTGAGCCATCATGAAGGTAAAATGTTTGCCCCTGCTGTGATCTGTGCTCCTCCATTCCTTTATAAACCTAGAGCTGTGCAATAGCAAAAATGGCAGAGAAATTTACCAGCCTGAAGACTGTGGTGAAAGGGGAAAGAAGGAGCAATCTGTGGGTAAATTGCTGTCAGACAGAATTGGTGCTGCAGTAAAGGATGCTTTGACTCACTAATAAGTGATGCAACTTGACAAGCGCCGAAGGGAATTTAAGAGATTGATGATGCCTTTGGTCTGTGCCCAGTGAGGACAGAGTGCTGAGCTGAGAATCAGCACTTGACTTCCTCCGCCAAAGTGGCTGGCTCCCAGGGGCCCAATGAGTCATTAGGTGTCATGAGGTGTGAAGGCTGTGGCCATGTGCCTTTCCTTCCTGCTTCATGTAACTAAGAAAGGGTTGGAGGCCCAAGGATTGGCAAATAGGAGTTCATTGCGACTTCAGGCCTCAGCCAGGATATGTAGAGAGTTTGGAAGTCGTCACTACTGTTCTCATGACAAGGAAAATACTACAAATTAAAAATCGATCATGACTTTTCTTGGACCTACCAGGAACTTAAGTTGCAGGGTAAACTGGATCCTGAAATCTGGAGAGATGAAGGCATCCAGAGAGACGCAGCCAAGATCTGCTGAACCAGCCAAGAACAGAAGCTGCTGGAACCGTAAACTGGTAGGAACACTTAAATGGTCATTTTGATAGATTGGTAGAGGCCGAGTGTGGAGTAATGTGAGAGTGAGAAACTTCTGGGGGTCATAGTCTTAGAGGGCACCCCCCGCCCCACAGGCACGGGCTTTCCTTCCAGGAACCTCACAGGTTCTCATGATGAAGATCTGAGAAAGGTGCTCTTAAGGCTCTGGGAAGGGTAAGAGCCATTTTTGTGAAATACAGCAGAGCCTTCTCCATAACCAAGGGCTACTCTCTAAGGGAAAAGATGCTACTGGAGCCTTATCTTAGCTGGGGGAGGGAATTACTCCTGTTCCAGGCCCCTCTAGCCTTCATGTCTCATTTAAAGGAGGAAAAATACAAAGTCAACAGGAGTCAGAAATTGAAGGAAGTAGAGTGGAAAGGGGCAGGATACAGTGAAATAGAAGCTACACCTCTGGCAAAACACTTTTTTTTTTTTTAAGGAAGATTAGGCCTGAGCTAACATCTGCCAATCCTCCGCTTTTTGCTGAGGGAGACTGGCCCTGAGCTAACATCCATGCCCATCTTCCTCTACTTTATACGTGGGATGCCTACTACAGCATGGCTTGCCTAGTGGCGCCATGTTCACACCCGTGATCTGAACTGGTGAACCCCAGGCCAGCGAAGCGGAACGCGCGAACTTAACCGCTGTGCCACTGGGCCAGCTCCTTTTAAAGGTCACAGTTCCAAGACACAGGCCTACTCAAGACCAAGATTTAATCAGAAGATTATAGGACACTTCCCCTCTCCCACACCAGCATTACAGCAGCGAGAGCTGTAAGACACGGATTCTTTCTGAGGAGGAGTACTTAGGGAATCCTTAGAGAAGCCTCATGGCCTCAAGGAGCCTGAGTCGTGTGGGGACACAGCAGCAGATGCTGGTCAAGCACCTCTGTCCAGACTTGGAGCAGATTGATACCTGGTCTTGTGGGTTCACAAAATACCACAATCCTGTGGAATCTCCCATCGTGTGGTTCTGTAGGAGGACCTGACACTCAGGCTACAGCATAGTGATCTCGTGATAGACAGAGGGAAAGCAGAGCCGTGCCTGACATCTTGTCGATTTCTAGTCTCCTGTAAGTGGGCCTGGGGTTCCCTGGTACAGAGAGTTTCAGGCACAAAGCTGCTGGCTGTCCTACGGCACTGGCAGAGCGTTCCGTGGTGTCAGTAGACTTGCTTAGATGAGTCACTGAAGAAACTTCTTCCCCTTCTTGCCATAGCTCACCATCAGTCTCAGGAGGAGCCTGTAAAATTAACTAGTCTTCTGGCCCTCTCTATAATTCAACTGACGGTCTAGATTGCTGACCTCAATAGTCCAAGCTAGTTCATTAGCGGACGTCCTAAAGAGCCCTTTCTAGAGTTGCATGAGTAGATGCTATCCATTCAGCATAAAATGCTGAATTTGCAAATGCTATTTATTTGCAAATGTACATTACTCAGGTATAGTAACTATCTGACTTGATGTCCCAAGTGTGGCAGTAAATGGTAACCTTGGTGCTTTCAGCATGAAGAAAGTACTATTAAAACCATCCATAAAACCTTCAGAAGGGGCTTCCAGGCTTCAAATGCAGGATGCCCAATGCTACTAGTTAGAATCCTCTCAGTTGCAAGCAACAGAAACTCAACTCAGACTAGCTTAAAGGAAAAAGGAGAATTTATTGGCTTATGCAACTGCGAAATTGGGAGTAGAACTTGTTTCAGGAGTCACCAGGGCTTAAATGCAGTCATTAAGTCTAGGTCTTTCTGTCTCTGGTTATTTCTTTTCTTTCTCTTTCTCCCTTTCTCTCTTTCCCCTGCTCCTCTTTCTAAGTCTCATCCTTTCTTTTTGTAGATGGTCTCCCTTAATTAGGGGATGAAAGTAGCCACTAACTCCAGTCCTAGAACATTCTGGTAGGAAAACCCCAGCAGAAAGAGCAAGTTAGTTTCTCCTGGAGTCCGTGTAATAATCTCAGGGAATGACTCTGACTGGTTTGCTTGGCCGTGGCCCCACTCCTTGGACCAATCACTATTTCTAGAAGGAGGAATACAATGACTGCCCATCTCTATGGCCAGAGAGTACTATGACCAAAAGCTCCATGAGCACCCTGGTGGAAGGGGAAAGAGCACTTTCCCCAAGAAAGGAGAGGAGTTGTTGCTAGAAAGCGTGAAGCCGTCCTGGATGACATAAAAAACAGATATCCACTATATTCCATCCCTTCCACCCATCTGCATTTACTGGCACACACAGTTAATCTTCATCCAATACACAGAATTCCAAGGTGTCCCCAGCTAACCAAGAATTCAATCACCTTCTCCCCAAGGAGGGGCAACCCAAAACCACAGCCTTGTCGAGTATCTCTGGATCATGTATATTACCCTAATGCCAGAATGTCTGTCCCCTGCTCAATTTAGTACAAGGAAAGACAGAGGTTATACTGAAACCTGGGAAAGACCAGAAAATATGGAAACTTCTCCTAAATTCTACCTGCTCTGTGTCACTAGAATGACATTTACCCATTTGGTGAATAGAGAAGAGGAAAGAATACAGATGCCATGCGCCATATCCCGCTGGACAGAAATCATGAGTGTATCTCCCTAGATCTGGAGGGGCTCCATGGGAAGCCCATCCCATCCCTAGTCCTGCGTACAAGGTGGCTCTCCCTTGGCCATTGAACTAGAAGGCTCTCACTGAGATAGGCATAGAGGGGTCTTCTGAGGCCTTTTAGCAGCCCGGTTCCCCAAGCATGGTTATGGGGGCCTGGCGTTGCCTCAGGAGTAGAGCATCACAGGTCCCTTTCTGGAGCTACAGTTTCTCAGATAGCATAATTCCTTAAAACTCTAGTAAGCTTCTCATGGAATCAATTCTGGAAAACTCCATTAACTCAGAACCAATGCCAGAAATCTTGGCCAGTAACAATTTGTAAATCTGAATTCTGACTTTCAATTTCTGTCTCTTAGCAACTAGCTTTGGTCCTCTGCCCGTCCTCCAGGCTCTCTTCTTTCCATGTCCGTCTTGGTGTCTGCTGTAGGATTATACGAGACCATAAATTGGGGTGGTGAGGCAGAGGTCATTGAGCCCTGCCCCCAGGCCATTTTCTGTTGCATGAAGCCTTAGTATAGGGGTAATTGTTACCTTTATTTAGCAGGAGTGACACAGAGCAGGTAGTACTTAGGAGAGCTTTCCATATTTTCTGGCCTTTCCCGGGTTCCTGTATAACCTCTGTCTTTCCTTGTACTAAATTGAGAAGAGGACAGATATTTTGGCACGTGCAATTCCACAAATACCTGATTTTCTGACCCTTAGTGGTCTTAGCTTTCTGCCTATCAACAGATGCAGTCTATGCTTTCCCTGCTTTCAGCCCGCAAACCTGTCCCTTTTGTTCAGGGCTATAGTGAAGACTGCAAAGGAGCCAGCACGCTCCATCATTCTGATATTTCTCCACCAAATCCCTCGAGGCTCCAGGCTTGGTGGGCTCATGGTCTCAGTCCTAAAATTCCAAGGGTGATCATGAGCCAGCTGCTCTGCTAGTGCCTAGCAAAGATTTGATCTTCCCAGCCTGGGAGGGAGGGCCCCCCACAGTCCCCTACTTTACCTCATCTCAGGCTATTCTACATTGCGGGGTCCGTCACTGGCAATGTCCTCCTTCTAGATACCAATTTTTGTGGTGGCCAAACCCATTTTGCTTGCAAGTGACAGAAATTGAATGCGAACTGGTTTAAATAGAAAGGAGAATTTACTAGCTCACATACCATGGGTAAAGGACGCTTCTGCCACAATTGGATCTGGGGAACAGTGAGTGCCTCACGTCTCCACCTCTCAACTCAGCTTCTCTGAGAGATGAGATGATCTCATTCTCTACTGGCAGATGGGCTCCCCCTGTGTGGTGGGGAGAAGGCCGTTGGCAACCCCAAACCGACAGCATCCAGGAGCAGATAGTGCAGCAGAACAAGAATCGTCTTCCTCACAGCGTCCAGTTATCCATCCCCTGAAAGGTCTCTGGTTGACCCTAACTGTTCACTTACCCAACTCATGAACTTGTCTCTGTTTCCTGGTGAGTGGCTTATGACAAAGTGGCAGGCCTGAGTTGTACACCCTCCCAGTGGCTGAGTGCGGGGTAAAAGGACAGGGGTTTGTGACCAGCAACCCCCACCACCACCACATGGAATGGGTGGAACAGTCCTCCAAAGGAGAGAGGGTCCCATCGTTAGAATAAGCAGGGAGGGATACGGAGAAAACAAAAATAACACTGATTTCACTTCACGACTTCCCTGCCTCCCTGCGGCTGGGATTCCTAAACTCACCCACACCCCGCCTGGATGGAGAACCCAAGACTTAGGATCTACAAACTATATCAGATAATTTTTAAAAATCCACCAAAAGGAAAAATGGCTGTGTTACAAAGAGATCAGGTGTGGGTATTTACACGTGAAGCCTCTGGGGAGAGTGAGGACTGAGGCCACGGGGGCGGACCTGGGGGTGTCTGGACAGACTTCCACCACGGCCCCGTGCACTTCGCAGAGGTGGCCTTCTCTCTTCGTGTCCTGTTGGCTAAACACAGGGACTACTTGTCAATCTTTGTATCCCCCAGGATACTATTGGATGCTCCTGGAACTGTGATGTTCCAGGCCTGAGGTTCTGGGTGTGTTTGAGGGGCCAGAGTTCAGGAGCCCATGCCAGGTTGGAGCTTGTATGGGCGGGATTGGAGTGAGTGGAATACCACACCAGAGGCAGTGCAGCCGGAGGGATAGACTTTCTTATAGCAAAGGGCACTCAGAGTTCATGGCGGGGCACATGGCCCTGACCGCCACATCCAGGAAGGAGTTGGGAGGTGATAGGAGATGGGCCAGGACAAGTGGTTCGGGACTAAGGATACGAGTGACACCCGAGTCTTGAGACCTGTTTTCATGAGGTTCCTGTAAACTCTCGGGAGGAGCTTGAAGTGGAGGCAAATGCAAGACAATGGATGTTGCATTGAAGTCATTTTCTAAGAGACCAGCTGTTTTACAGTTTAAGGCTTTTTATGCATATTTTACAAATTATGATTTTCAACTGAAGGAAATGTGTCTTGCATAATGGTCTAGGGTATTTTTGCCTCGAGGCTATTATATTGCATATTTTTATATAATTGACTTTCTAAATTCATAGAAGTAATAGTTTCTAGAGCACGAGGGGCTTTATACAGCACTTAATCCAGTAGTTTTCACACTAGGTTTTTTTTTAAAATCACTGAAATACTTTTTTGTCCCCCAAATAAAATCTGTAAGATGGTGTCATTCATTCCACAAATATCTGTGTTCCAGACACTGAGTGAAGCACTGAAAAAAGGGCAGGAATGAAGCTCCTCCAGTAGGGTGTGGAGGCTCCCAGGAGGGCCCCCCAGTCTTCTGCTGAGCCTGTCACCTCCTGCATTGGGTTCCCCTGATGCTCTGGCCCCAGCGCACAGATCCCTGATCTGGGCTCACTCCCTCATTCAGAACGAGGACACTGAGGTCAGAGGCAAAACCATTCATGTGGCCTCTTATGACGTAAGTATCAGAAAGTTTAATTTCATCCATCACTTTCTTCTTGCTTTAGATGGAAAAGAACATTACAATTCGCCCACCTTCCTCTTTTTAAAAAAACAATTCCTCCTACATCTGCCTTTAGAATTCCTTTGCTTGGAGTGGAGGAACAACCTCTTTTTCTTTCTTGGTACTCCCTTTACACTGTCATTTGCTTCTTGGAGGAAATCCATGTGGGAGGATGAGAGTGGAGTTAGGTTGGCAGAATTAAGAAAGGAAATAATGGCCCCTGTGGTGGAGCAGCAGCCTTGGGGCGCGAGAGGAGGTGGTGCAGAAATGTGATTCTGATAAAATTATCAGGAAAGAAAGGCTAAAAGTTGAAGGTCAAGAGAGAAGAAAAAGCCGCCCACTGAGGATTCTACATGGATCACCCGAGCGTCGGGGACAGAAGAGTGCTGCTGATGAGGGGGAGCTGTGGAGGCCACGGGATGACTGAAAGGCATTTGTGTAGTAAAGACATTTCCACGGGAACACATTTTCTTCATGGATATTCTCTTGTCTCGCCACCTTTGTGATCGAAGAACCACAATTGCTGGTCAAGTTTGAGACCAATCCATGACATTGAAACAGAATATGATGTAATTCAAAATACATTCGCTGAGCGCCTACCACGTGCCAGGTACTGTGATACACATTGAGGATCTAAAGGGCTGAGAGTTACAGCCCTGCCTCTCGGGAGCTCTGTATCTGGAGAGGGAGAAAGACCCATAAGCAAACAAATGTAACATTGGTTCATTCATTGACCACTATATGCTCAGTGATTACTCTGAGCCAGGCACTGGGCTGGGCAACTGGAAGCATTTCTTCAGCACCAACAGAAACATTTCCTCAACTCCTGCATATGTGGTATGGGGGGAGGCAGCCAATCGAATATTCATGGAAGCAATTAAAGCATCACCTCTGTTACTGGGCGGTGAGGGTGATGCCCAGGGAGCTATGAGAGCCTGAAACGGGCATCTGATCTAGCCAGAGAACTCAAGGGAGGCCCTTCCCAGCTGAGATCTAAAATAAGACTGGATATTGACTAGGCAAAGAGAGGAGAAAAGAGCCTTCTAGACAGAAGAAACAGCTCCATCAAAGTCAGAGAGCGATGGGAGGGAGGTGGGTGCAAGATTGGTGAGGTGGCATAGACCTATGCAGAAATGTGTAAGCTACACAGAAGGATTCTGTCTTTATCCTAAGGTAATGGGGAGCCATAAATCCTTTGTAAGAGTTCTATGTAGGAAGTGCTATGGGCACAGGGAGGATGTAATTAATTCTTCCTGGGGATGGGGAAGTCTGAAAAAGCTACTGAGAAGCTGCCACATTTGATGAGTAGGTATTTTTCTAGGTGGTAAAACTGAGCAAAGCCATCCCAGACAATGCCAATGGTATGAGGAAAGAAAAAGGGAAGTGGGTTAGCTGGGTGACTTGGGACAGGATACATGAGACACATGACAAGTGGACACAAGGACACATGACAAGTCGGGCTGGGGCGGGGATGGGTACTGAAGGAAGAGTTAGAAGTGATGCCAAGAAGCCAATCTTGGCAGTTGAGGCACATGCCAGAAATATGGAGAAGAGAAGAGGAACAGGTCTGCAGGGAAAGACCAAGCCAGCGGGCCCAAAGAGACGTTGAACTGGAGTCTTAGTTTTCTTTTTCCTGCCAAGAATTGCCTTGTCTCCACTTCTGGAAAGCTAGGTAGACAAAATTGCCTCCACCATCAGACTTAGTGCTTGCCCTCTGAGAAAGTGTCTCTGGCTCTCGGCAGGGGGTCCTCAGAATGCCGAGTCCCCAGCCAGCTACATCCTCATTTCTGCGCCCCATGGCTCTTTTCTCAGGCCCTTCGCCTGGGCCCCGATGTTCGGCCGCCCAAGTTCTTTATCTGGGGTTCTCTGGATCCTGTCGTGTGCTTCTCCAGCTTACTTTCACTTTCAAGTTTCCTGTTCTGAGTTTTTGATCCTCCAGCTTGACTTCCTAAAATCCTTGCCTGTTACTTTCTCACTGCCAAATCTGACCCCTTTAGACTCTTGGGAGCCATCAGTCCCCTATGGATCCTTTCAACACCCTTTCCTCTACTTCCCTGCCAATTTCCCAGTTTATTTCTTCCTAGTCAACTTTTCTTTTTTTTCCCACAGCCCCTGCCGCGTGGTGCCACGCTAGAACCCACCTAAAATAAGAGCCACTGCTGATTCTTACTACTTTCCAGGACCCCACCCTGTCCTATGTTGACTCAGTCGCCTCTGCATTTTAGACAGCCCAAGGGAATGGAGCTCCCAAAACGTTTCAGACATGAGTTGCCGCCACCCACCAGTCTCCCCAGCACCCAGTTAATGACTTACTCAAACAAACAGAAAGCTGATGCTGACATACACTTCTCCACATCAGCTCTGTGATTCTGGGAAACCAGGTTAAGTTGAATACTTTCTTTTTCAATATAAAATGGAGCCCTGTTAGGCTTTCATGAGATCACACAAGCAGTGTGCTTAGCTCCACGGCTAACACACGGCAAGTGTTCATTGAGAGATGGCTACGATTAGATATTTTGGCAGTGAAAATAGATTTTCACATTACTCTTATTCACATTTTCCTGGAAGTAAATTGTATGGCAACTGGCTAATAAGCCCAACAAGAAGTAAATGACTTAGATCAGAGGTCAGCAAACTTTTCCCATAAAGGTCCAGATAGTATTTCGGGTTTTGCAGGCAACGTGCTCTCTGTCACAACTACTCCACGCTGCCTTTATAAACTCAGCCATAGAAAACAGTAAACAAGTGGGTGTGGCCATATTCCAATAAAACATTATTTACAAAAACAGGTGGCAGGCCAGTGGGCCATAGTGTGCTGACCTCTGATGTACATGGTTGCCTGTGATGGAATAGTGATTGATGAATTCATGAATTTATTAATTTAACAACTGGTCATTGAGAGCTTGGTGCTGGGCATTCAATGGTAAGACGAAGAAATACAGTTCCCGCTCCATGGAGATGACAGCTAAGTGGAGGAGATGGATGTTAATCAAATATGCACACAGATAAATAGAAAGGCCAAATGTGATTAGATAAATAGAAAGGTCAAATGTGATTAGAGCTATGAAGAAAAGATATATGGTGCTATTAGACCATTTGACAAAGAGGCGTTTGTTTGTTTACTTGTCTGTTTGGTGGGGGTGGTTAGAAAAGTTTCTCTAAGGAAGTGTTGCTTGAGCTGAAATCTGAAGGATGAGAATAAATTAACTCGATTGAGGAAGTTGTGGAAGAGTTTCCCAGGCAAAGGACCCAACGTGTGAAAGTCCTGTGATGGGAGGAAGAATGGAGTGTCCAAAGAATTGAGATAAAACTGGTGTGGCCAAGCACAAGTAATGGGAACCTTGATGAGGATTGTGGTCTTCAGCCTGGAAGCAGAGGCAAGCCAATAACCAACTAAAGCATGATCAGATTTGCATATTGAAAAAAATATCGCTTCAGCTAAGGTATTGAAAATGGAGTGGATGGGGACCTACAACATTGCAATGAGAGAAATTTCCAGTTATGGCTAGATCATTCTTTTGAAAGAGGGAGGTTGGGTGGTTTAATGATTTGCAAGTAAAAATTTCTTTTCTGCATCATGGAAAAGTCATTTAACTCCTTCTGGTCTACGGAAAATAAAGTAAAAAATCAAGATTTGTATTTCATCAGTGCCAACCTTTTTATCTTCTCAGTGTTTTTCTTTCAGCAGCAAAATGCAGATGAATTTGCATAAAAGTTTACTCACACACAGTTCTGGCAACCTACTGACTCAACCTGTTTTTCAACTTGACTTATTTTTCACGCATGAAACATTGTGGCTCAGATAGATCGTAATAAAACATCTCTCTTGTTGTTTAAACTAAAATCCCATTAATCAAAGTAAACTTGGAAGTAAGTTAAGTATTTTCAAAGATTAAAAACTGATAAACCTAACTGTTGGTTCAGTTATCCATAAAATGGAGTTTAAAAAAACAAGGAAAAATTTCTTTAGGTTTCTTAAATTATCCACATTCCTTCTAATGGCACGAAAGGTGTACAAGGGCTAGAAAAGTAGTTCTCAACCAGGGGTGGTTTTGCCCCCCAGGGGACATTTGGCAATGTCTAGACACATTTTTGGTCGTCACAGCTAGGAACAGGGGGAGGTTGCTACTAGCATGTAGTGTGGAGAGCCAGGGGTAGTGTTATACACCCTACAATACACACAGCAGACCTCCCACAACAAAGAGTTACACAAGCCAAAATGTTAACGGTGTTAGTAGGGTGGAGAAAGCCTGGTCTAGAATAAGGTTAATCCACCAACTTCCTTCAACTCTGTTTGTTCCACATTATGCTATGAAGTCTTCTTTCTTCCTTCCTTCCTTTCCTTTCTTCCTTCTTTCCCACCTTCCATCCTTTCTTCCTCTCCTCCTCCTCTTCCTTCTCCTTCTTGTTCATCTTCGCCTTTGCTGGCCCACCAATTTTCCATAATCTGAAATGAGATTCCTCCACTTTTGCAGAAGTCATAAAATATCTCATGGACACAGGCCACTTCCATCCCAGTATATCCTGAAATCCATATGTGATTGACTCAGCTCCTATCACAGTGACTTGTGTCCTCAGTATGTCAATCATTATCTCTCACTAGGATTCACTCATCTCCCTGCACCCATTTCTGTCCCCTCTCTACCACCAAGCAGCCTTTTAAACATGCAATTTCTTGTCAAGCTCCTATTTATAAAAAAGCTTCAATGACTTCTCAAGAGGAAGGTCAAATCTTCATTGGCCCAGGAGCCCCTGCACCAGCTCTCTCTGCCGCACGGCCGCCCACTTTTCAGTTTCATCTTGCACCACTCCCTCTTCTCACACCAGCCATGCTGGACCTCTTAGTTTTGAGTATGCCATGTTCTGGTCTGTCTCGCAGGCTCTTCCCTCTGCCTGAAGTGCTGTTCCCTTTATTTACTCACCTGACTCCTACTTACTCTTCAAGTCACAACTTAATCATAATTTCTCAAGGAAAACTTCTCTGACTCCCAGACTAGGCACATAGGTCAGAACACTCGAGAATATTTAATTATTCATGTTTTAGCTTTTGTTTAATGTTAATGTTGGCCTTCTCCCCCAGACTATAAAGCAAACCATGAGTGGGTGTTCAAAAAGAACCTTGCATTTCAGGCTGCTCCAGAGATTTTTGATCTTTTACTTGTAACCATATGTGACGGACCTAATGTTCCCTCTAAGAAAATAGCAGACTTGGGCAAAATTTGCAAATAATCCTGGCATCTCACTGTAGCATTGCACAACAAGCCACATTTATGAATCTTAATACAGAGTCACTCTGCCTCTGATATGAGCCTGGCTGGCTATACAAGACATCTTTTATGCTCCATCTTTTGTTCTTCTGGATCACTCTTTACTCTAGCCACTGTGGCAGCCACCAGTTGATGTAACCTCCCCTTCACTGCCACATATCTCTAGCTTCCAGCCCTGGGACTGATGTGTCATGGGACACCTGAGGACAGCTGCTTGGACTCATGCATGTGCAGCTTAGAAGCGCAAGGGCTTCAGTCCCCTACAGGGCAACTCTTGGACAGTGGTTGATGGAGCTGGTGTTCTCCCACAAGTCCTACCGTCTTGGGCAGACTATTCTGGAATATATTCTGAGTCTTCTTCAGAAGGTCCTGGCTGGACCAAGACCTAGCTGCCTACAGTGATGGTCAAGCCAATAATGCGTCCTTGCATTGGCTTTCCTTCATTCCGTCTTTCCTCAGTCTGTTACTCATGCTCTCTGGGACCACTTCCAAAATAAACTACCTGCACAAAAACCCTTGTCGTGGCCTCTCATTTTGTGGGGAACACAGTCTAAGACAATGACATTGGATGTTGTGTGAGTCATGTGGGAGCAGACATTTAATCACACAACAAGGGAATTCCTCTTAGCTCCAGAAATCCTGGATCCATCTGTAGTAAGCTAAATAATGCCAAATAAAGCCAAATCTATCCATGTTCTAATCTCCAGAATTTGTGAATATGTTACCTTAACATAACAAAAGGGACTTTGCAGATGTGATTAAGATAAGGATCTTGAAGTAGGGAGCCTATTTTAGATTATCCATGTGGTCCCTAAAGGTAATTCCAAGTCCTTGTAAGACAGAGGTGGGAGGGTCAGAGTCAGAGAGAAGGTGACATGGTGCTGGAGGCAGAGATTGGAGTGATGCGCTTTGAGATGGAGGAAGGGGCCACAGGCCAAGGAATGCTGGCAGCCACCAGAAGCTGGGAAAGGCAAGGAAATGGATTGTCCTCTGAGACTTGTAAAAGGAAATTTGATTTTAACTTAATAAAACCGGCTTTGAACTTCTGACCTCTATAACTCTAAGAGAGTAAATTTGTATTTTTTCAAGCCCCTAAGTTTGCGGTAATTGTTATAGTTATAATAGGAAACTAACATTCTACCTCTTTGAAAGTGATACGATTGAATGCCTCTGTTAATAAAAGTAATAGTAGCTGCTAATATTTATTAAGCCAAGTGCTCACTGTGAGTCAGATTCTGTGCTAACCACTTATTTGCTATTCTTCCCTTATTTTCCCAACAACCCTATAAGGTCGGTACCTCTACTGTCCATCATGGTGGATACCATCCTACGACACTCCAGGTCCATCTCCCCACTTCTCTGCCCCAGGAGATAGGTCCATATAGATTGCCTCCACTGGCCCCCTTGATCTCTGGCTTCCAGTTGGGTTTGACCAGTTGGAGGCAACAGCAGGAGATGTGGAGGGTGGGTAGGCAGTGTGGCCTCCAGCTCTCTCCCGCCCAGGTTATTACAGGTTGACTGTATCCCCTCCTGAGGTCACAAATCATGCCAGCTAACTTCTACATAAAGCTTGCTTGTAGGGTCCTTGCTCCTGCTGCCTCTGGGAATTTCTCCATCACTTGTTTCTTCTCCTGAATCCTGCTCACACTTCAGTAAATAGCCTTTGATTAAACAGTCGTTAATTCACCCCATTTGTGTGTGCCATCTGATTTCTGCCAGGACATTGCCCAATACTCTCTTTTTTCTAGCTAAGGAAAATAAGGCTCAGAGAGGTTTAGTATCTCAACACATTTCATGCAAGTATAAAATAATGAAAGAATGAGATGAGCAGAAGTTTCCTCTGCTTTCGCTGTGATAGGGAACACTGTTGATGTTCTCCCAAACAAAAGAAACAAATTCGTTGTTGTCGGTGTTGGGTCTATCGATCACATGCACACTGAATCTGCCTGTATTTTTATCGGGCCGTCTCCCTTAAATGTTGCATTCTCATTTATTAGGTGCACCATCGGGTATTTTTTAATAATATATGCAAATTTTTAAAAATATATCATTTTCTATCTTGTTTTGATCATCTTGACACCACACTTTCCTGTTACACAAACACTTGAGAATGTGGTTTGTCCTCAAAGACCATGCCAAATGAGAGGAAATGTTTCTGTGAATTGTCTGAGTTATATGCGGCCATTTTTGATGAAGTCTGCAATTCTAACAGCTGTGTCCTAAATTAAGAGGAAGATGGGCATTTCTCCAGAGATGAACCAATTCATCAAGAACCCATCTTGCACAAAATATAAAACTTTAATAATTCAACCCTACTGGGGGGCTGGCCAGGCGGAAACACGTTGTTTAAAGAAATGTGGTTTGATGGCTTTGAAATACAAACAAGAACTTGAACTAGGTAAATAGAATGGGGCCTAGCACGGCTCTTAGGAAATTTGCTTGAATGAAAAGCTAAGAAAGATTTATAATTGGTATATCAATTATTTCTATGGGAGTGGATGTTTTTATGATGCTTGAGGGTACTTAAAAAGTTTGCTCTCATAAGTAATTTAAACATTCCTCTTGAATTACTGTTTGCACTATTAATTTATTTAACAAATTAATCATGGAACCATATCATTTTAGAGCTGAAAGGGGCCTCAGAGAAAATCCAGTGCAACTCTCTTTTTGCAAACAGTTTCTTGGATCCTTCTTGGCTCCATGCTCGCAGTATAGGGACCAGCCTGAGCACACCCCTTCAGTCCAGCTCCCATCCCTGAGCACTGGCCCACAGCCGGAGGTCCGCATAGCTGGTTCTTTCTTGCCTGCAAAAGGAGATTAGGACATGTCGCAAGTGAGCTTCTGCACTGCTCCTCTCCCTGGTCCCCCAAACAGAGACTTTGTTCTGCTCTACTCTTTCCTGCCTTTTTTGCCAGAACTCAGTGCCCTCACGTCTGGTACCCCTTCCATTCCCAGTCGCTTACACTGAGGAGGCTCAGAGGAAGGCCAACTTCTCAGCGTCTTGCCTTGCCACTCTTCCAATCTGCACGCCCTCTCTGCACCTCTGAAATCACATCCTCCAAAATGGCTTTTGTCAAGGTCTCTCACAACAGAGCTCAAGACTCATACGACTTGACCATTCCTTGGTAGCATTGGGAATGGCTGATGACTCCTTTCTTGAACTCTTTCCTCCCTTGCCTTCTATTACAGAGGATCCCTCCTGCTTCACCTTCACCGCTCTGACCATTCTTTCCCAGTCCCTTTTGCTGGAGTTGTTGTTTGTTGTCATCTTCTCTTCTCATTCTACAGTTCTTCACAGGAAATCTCAGTCATCCTACCACTTTCTCAACCGCCTGCAAGCTGTTTACTATCAAGTTTAAGTCCCTGGCCCAGGTCTTTCTCTTGACCTCCCAGTTGCCTACTGAACACCTTTTGAAGTTCCACAGGGCATAACAAAATCATTCACATAGGTGCCCAAGGCAGAAATATAGGAGTTACTAGATCAGTCCACCAATGGTTCCCCATTGCTCCCAAGATAAAATGCAAACTTCTTAGTATAAGCAAAAAGGAGGCCAGTGAGGTCCGGTTACTCTGACTGAAACAGCTTCATCTCGTACAGCTCCCTGTCAGTCCTCACATCCACCCCAGCTAAACGGTCCTTCCTGTAACCTTCAGACAAACATTGACCCCTATTCCAAGAGTCAGTTCAAGAATTATGTCCTCCATGAATCTTTGTCTCACCAATTTCCCCCTCTCTGGAAGATTCGGTCATTGGGAATAGGAAGAAAGAGAAAGTTCCAAGTAATAAAGAAGTCACAGTGTTGAGGAGATTAAAGTTGTCTCAGTTCAGGTGAACTAAGTAACCAGCTTTAAAAATAGGAGATGTTCAGAACTATTCACTCCCTGATCTTCTCGCCGAGGGATGCTTTCTGGAAAGTGAAATGGCTCTGTCTGTTTACGTAACAACTTCTCTGTGTTTTTTCCCCCTTAGGCTGCTGGATTCTGGAGACAGACATCTTTGCATGCTGCTAATCACGACCCTGTTATTAGGAAGTCAAAAGGGGTAGGATGTAGATAGGGGAAGAGCAAAGATGCTTGTTTTCCTATCTGATGTCCTCCCTCCTGTCTAGCAAGAGATCCAGAAAAAACAAAATCTCCAGAGATTCTGCAAGTCACACGAGTCTTGGCTTGCTTTTTTTCAAATTAGCTCTAAGATCTTAAATGACCCCAGCTACTGAGATCAGTATTCTGGCAGCAATAACAAATAAGCGTTGAGGTGGCAGTCAGTCCCCACACCCAGCCACGTGTACATGTTTATTTTATATTCTATCCTTGTATATTTAAATATGTCAGGTTTTTATCTAACTTGTCTGAACTCCCATGTAAAAATGTGTGAAAGTAGGTCTCTCGCATCTAAAGGTATTTAATACGTGGTTTCTGGGTTAGAAATATAAATTTAAGAAAATTTTGAAGTCTAAACTGGAGAAGCGAAAGTCATAACTATCATGTCTCCGGATGAAGTCTTTTGTAGATTTCTTCCGTTGAGCGACAGGATGAGTGTTCTACAATCAGATCAATGAAAGCTGGTGGCTTCTTCGGGATTTTACTGAGGACAAAGGAGGAGGTTCTGCACATGATTAACTTTGTCTGATTGAATTGAGAGTTTCTGAATGATTAAGAAACTAGAGTTTGACTAAGTCAGAAACCATGCGGTCTATAACAGAAAACTTCTAAAGAAAAACAACATAAATTTCCAGTAGAAGCAAGCAGATGATTTCTGTAACTTCATAACCAGGACAAGAACTCCGTTCACTTCCTGTTCTGGATAAAGTCCCTGAACTGAGGCCACTCCAGCACAAGGGGGTGAAACATCTTTTCAGTGACTTCTCGGAAAAAGAAAAATTCTCTCTTGAAACTGAGGCCTCTGATTTGTTTTAATAATGTCTCCATTTTAGCCAAGTGGATGGAGGGGAGGGGAATGAGTTTTGAATTACCTGCTTTATTAGTATAAATGGTTTTTACTTGTTATATTTTTCTAATGAAAAGGAAAAGAACACAATTCTCACTAGGAGAAAGGGTTCTAGGATTTTATTGAGTTTGCCATGGGCTAGACACTGAGAGAGAGGTTCTTCCATACTCATTCTTATCTTTAGACATGGTACGGATAATGATAGAGCTCCCTTGGTGTGGCCACCACCAACTGAGAACTTCCTGTGTGCCGGTGAGTGTTAAGTGTCTTACACAGATCACTTCATCTTTAAAGTTTTCAAGATTCATCCACGTTAGATCACATACCACTATTTCATTCTTTTTCATATTATCTTAAGATAGTTATAAGATATATATCTTATATATAATATACATACTAAGCTATTTAGAGATTTATATATCTAAATATCTAAGATATCTAAATATAACTGCTGTGGTCATTGAAAATCCTCTTCTATTGCAGTCCTATTAGCTCCTCTGTAGGTAATGCTTTCCACAATCTCTATAGATCAATGTAAAGACAACCAATACTGTAATTTTTAGGAGACATATAGCATTAGTGCATCCTCCATTACCTTCTTTGTGGGCTCTCAGGCCATTTGGCTTGGGAATATAACATTCATTTATAAATCAAAGGGAAAAGGACCCAGAGATCTCAGGCCTGTCCCAACCCACCTGGGATTGGGCCAAATTAGGAGAAATTTCTTTAAAGTCTGCTGGTCTTTGTGTGTTTATCACCATGCTAATTATCTGGTTTTCTGCTTTATAATTTGGGCTTCCCACATAAATCCCTCTTTTGATTCCTTTGCGCCCATTATCTGATCTACAAAAATGGGGGTGGGGTGACCAATTTGGGATTGGTCACAGCACTTCTACCTAGCATTTGGATTTTTTCCCATTCCTTCATTAGATAATATAATGAGAGAGGGACTCACAGTGTTGGAAGCAACTTTGGTGGGCATCCTCTTTCTAAGAGGTCTACCAAGGTCACACAGCAGTTAGTAACAGAGCTGGGGCTAGAGCCTAGGGGAAGGGTCTTTTTCTTCGTGAACAGAAAATAACATGGACGTGCATCAGAATAGAAGGCCCAGCCATGAACTTCCTTTCTGCCACTTCTTAGCTGTGGGAACCCTCAAGCCATTTCCTCCTCAAATGTGACCATGAAATGAGATAACATGAGTAAAGTACCAAGCATTGCCCTTGTGCATGGTCTGTCTTCTTGATACCTGTCAGTTGCCATGCTGTCCAGGTGAGGGCTCTTTGGTTTGGGCTTTGAGAGCTCCCTCCAAGGTAGTTGACCAAAACCCATAGTTCTCCACTGCCCCTCCGCTTCCAGAGCAGGGAGGCTGTTTGGGCATCTGGCTGCCTAGGGGAGTTCCTTTTTGTGAGCTGTAACCTGAGAGGCAGTTATCACAAAGCCAGAACAGAGCAGCGGCCTTTGATGGCCACAGGGCTTCCTTCAGTCCAAGAGAAGCTTCATTGGAGTCCTGAAGCCAGTCGTCATCTCAGTCTCTGTGTGGTTGTCCCACCCTGAGAAGTTCTGGTAGACTCCTGGGAAGTGTTTTTGATAGATAGTAGAAGTTTATTGTTCCCACTTTATGGTTCCCAAGGGTGAGTGTGAACCCAGAACATAGTCTGAACTCCCTCTTCGGCCCTAAACACATTATACCATCAAATAAAATCCGCTACTTGTAATTGAATCATATTACTTGCATCATAGTTTTCCCACTGCAAAATATTGTCTTAATTTTCACTAGCATGCTTACTCCTCAAAATCTGAAAACTCTCCATACCACCCAAGTGTCCCCGCCGAACAAGCATGGAGGCTCTGTCTCGCGCTAATGCTAGTTCCAAATGTCCTCCTTTTTCATAGGCTATTGACCCAGGATATTTTTAAATTTTGGACTGTCCCAGACATGGGTCTAACTGATTCTGAACCCTATTCTCCTCGTGTTACAATCTCTTACCCTTCACTGGTAGGCCTACTGTTCTGAGACTAGCCCCAGCTGAATATCCTCAGGCTGTTCCAGAGCCCAGCCCCAAACTATCACCTTCTCAACACCTTGGCTTCAGCCACCTGGAGGGAAAAAACCAAGACATGTCCCTTGACAATTAATTACTCAACTTTTGCAAGTGCCTATTATATGTAAATCTGAATTAAATTCTGTCACTTTATAGGCTACCTAATGCAAACTAGTTAACATTTCTAAGCTTCAGTTTCCCCATCTGAAGAATGGAGATAGTAATAGCACCCATTACCTGGGGTGGTTCTGAGTAATAAGAGAGAGAATGAATCTAAAGGGCTTGGTGTGGTGTCTAGCACACATAAGTAAACAACTAATGTCAGCTATCATTGCCGTTGTTGCCATTGTTGTCACTGGACAACAGTGAATACAAAGATACATAATACATACTCCCCACCCTCAGGGAGCTTACAAGATACTTGGGATGACAAGTCGTAAGCATATGACAAGAAGATGGCAATAGAGATATCCTAATAAAGTATGTGATGCTGTTATTTGTCAGAGGAGTGAGGCACAGGACACTGGAAGCTAGAATATGACTTGGAAAGGCTTCAGGTTGATGGAGGAATGACAAGCTGGGCCTTGATGGATGAAGTGCGCTTAGACATAGTGAGGGCAGGGAGGAGAAACAGCAAGACGCAGCGAGCAGAGAGAGGAATGCGCAAGGGTTTGGAAGACCATGAGTGACAGGGTAAGTGGAGAATTCATGCCAAGTAGGTGGGAGCCAGATTATGACAAGCATTGAGTGTAAATGTGAACGGGCAGGCATCTGAGATTTCAAGACGCCAAGCTGTGGGAACCTAACACGGTGGTGGTATATGGGGTGGGTTTGGGTGCGAGAGACAACAACGGAATACACTGTTACAATCATCGAAATTTAAGGTGAAGTGCAGAGGCCAGGTGACTGTCTGGAGGTGGAAAGGGCAACCAGAGTTGAAAGACACTTACAGAGAAGAAATGTGTCCGGATTTAAGAGGCGAGGGCAAAATGGAGTGGAGTGTTTGCAAGGAGAAGGGAGGCACAGAGCACCCCAAACTTCCAATCCCAAGAGGCAGGGAGAATGGGGCAGCGTAGTATCATTAATGATATATGACAGTCATTCACTCAGTCTCTTGTTCATAATATTAATTCTGCACTCTCTATGTCAGACCCTGTCCCAGGTCATTCGGTTTCAGACATGAACACAGCAGTTCCTGCCTTCCAGGAATTAACAGTCTAGTCAGAAGGAAAAATTAGATTGGGGAAGAAAGGTTTTTTTATTTACTCATAAAGGTTTATTTATATTTACCCATAAGTTGATAGATCTGAAAAAATTCAAATGTCACCTAGAGGACTCCTTACTGTGCTCCACTGAAAAAAACTGTAAAGATGAGAAGACTGACATCCAAAGAGAGTAAAATTCACACCTCTAGTTACTGTCAGAGCTGGCCCAGGATGACGAGAGCCCGGAATTCTTTTTTTCAGAGGGGAAGTGGTTGGGGAAAGGAAGTGTGAGGGTGGGGCCAGCAGGTGACCTTCATGCTAGTGTGATTGATTCCAAAGGAGAGCTGGGCCTCAATCTGGACTTGAGCTTGACCTGTGGAAGGGTCAGACTTTGAATGAGGGGGTCTCACTGGGATATACTGGGGGTATCCAGGATGCTCTTTTCCAGTTCCATTCTCCCAGAGCCTTCCTTTGAACAAGTTTGGCTCTGGAGAAGGAAGGAGGTTGCCAGAGGAGTATGAGGCTTCCCTAGGGGCCACCTCTAGAATTCTCACCCTGGGAAGCTGAGGGAGCTGGAGGAGGGGTGCAGGGGAGTGTTACACAGGCCATCTGAGGAGTAGACAGCCAATTTAGATGGACCACTGGTGGCAAAGAAGAATCTGTCTGGAAAAGAATGCAAGTGAGTAGATGACTGAGCCCGGAGAAATGAAAGACCCCAACAGATTACCTGCCCCTCTCATTCTGGAGAACCAGGACCGGGTGCCCTTAACCAGCCCTAAGCCCAGAGTGAGACCCACCCAGCAAGGGGCAATGCAGGCCCCTGCAGGCAGCTTTAAGCCTGCTGAGAGCACACTTCAAACGTGAAGTCAGAAAAAGTGGGCTTCTGCCTTGGCCCCATCACCCACCAGCCCCGTGTGTGCAGACCACCAGCCTCACCAACTGGACCTCAGCCCACCCTCTGTAGAATGACATCTCCAATATCTGCCCCTTCTGTTCATTTCCTAACAGTCCTTGGAACCAGAAGGAGGCCCACAGGCCTTTGATTTGACCCCTGCAATAAGTGTCCTGGGGCTTAGGCCTGCAGAAGCAGGAAAGAGAGGCAGGATTTCCTTCTTTTTATGGCTGAATAACATTCCATTGTGAGTGTATATATATGCGCACACATTTTCTATATCCATTCACTTATCACTGATGGACGTTTAGGTTGTCTCTATGTCTCGGCTGTTGTAAATAGTGCTGCAGTGAACGTGGGAGTGCAGAGATCTTTTCAAGTTAGTGTTTTCATTTCCTTTGGATAAATACTCAACATCCAGGAGTGGAATTGCTGGACCATTTGGTAGTTCTATTTTAATTTTTTGAGGAACATTCATACTGTTTACCACAGGGGCTGCACAAGTTAAGTTCCCACCAACAGTGCACAAGGGTTCCCTTTTCTCCACATCCTCTCCAAGACTTGTTATTTGTTGTCTTTTTGATAATAGCCATTCTAAGAGTTGCGCGGTGATATCTCATTGTAGTTTTGATTTGCATTTCTCTGATGATTAGTGAGGTTGAGCACATCTTCATGTTCCTGTTGGCCATCTGTATGTCTTTCTTGGAAAAATGCCTATTCAGATCCTCTGCTCATTTTTTATCAGATTGTTTTTTGGCTATTCAGTTGTTGGAGTTCCTCATATATTTTTGACATTAACCTCTAATC